GCTCACCATAGCTCCTCCTAGCACGACCCACCGTGTGTGTGCCCTGCAGATTTCACCCGGCCGGCAGAATGTCGGCCTACTGGAGCGGATTAACGAATTAGTGCGGCCAGGGGCCTCTAAGCCGGGCACCGACTCCCCGCGTATTTGGAGAACTGCGGTTTTGCTATTTACGGGTTGCCACGTTGCCCCCTACTTTCCCCTCTCTCTTTGCCTTGCACAGCTTGTTCAACATAGTGCAAGAATAGACCCCCTTGTAGTTCACGGCCAGGATGCAAGAGACAAATATTATTATTCTTTTTTTGCTTCCAATGGCCTTCAAGTGTCAGCTGAGCTAATTGGAACAGTTTTCGCGAAGTGCAGCTCAGCTTAGGTAATGAATGTCCAGTTGCGTCTACACTTCCCACGAACAACTGGAGTCCTTCTTCCCTACTTTTTTCCCCTTCTACTTCTACTGTTTTTGCTTCAAAGTTTCTCTGATCGTCCCCTCCCCCCTCCTTTCCTTACCCCAAAGCTGCCCCCCCACATCCCCTCCCCGTTTCTTTTTCTGAATAGCTGTGCCTAAATATAGAATGTGCATAGATGTTAATTCTGTCCCCACAAACAGTAATAAGGTGATAGAACATTCTTCTACAAGCCAGCAGACCCACTTACAACCAACCAATCAATAAGTCAGTCAATCAATCATCAACCGATCAATTAATGAACCATTTAGAAAATTACCTTTCATTAATTTTGGGCCACCAGTTCATTTGTGGGCAAGGTCAACATAATTCATAGCTCTGTCAATGGGCAAGTCCATTAATCAGTACACTGACAGATTTGTATCGCTCTTGCCACCAGTGTGTACATTGACCTGTTGTTTTGTTCCTCAAACAGGGTTTTTTTTTAGACGCTAGTGGGCGTACGGCCTAGTTCTTTTCTTTCCATCTTGTCTTTCTGCCTCTGTATCTTGCTTTGTTTTCCCGCATTTGATAATCCCTATCACGTTGACATATGTCTACCGACATCTGTGGTGTAGGAGTTAAGCGCTTTGCTGTCGCACATAGGAGACCCGAGTTCGATTTCCAAGTCGGGAGAATTTTTAATCGAGTACCTTTGTCTTTCTGCCCGGATGTTGTATCCCTCTCAGTCTATACATTCTTATACAAACGTTCTCTTACCGTCTAGCTCTCAGCCCATGTTGACCCTGGCAGGTAGGGTCGGAAGCCTGCTTCCTAAATGATCTAAATCATGTCGGTGGGTGCGTGCATAAAAGCACTTGCATTTACACAATAAAAATGACGTATGTCTCTTTACTCAAACTAATATTCAAACATCTTCGTCCCACCCCCCCCCTCCCTCCTCTGACAGTCCCTGGTGCATGTTCTGAAGCACCGGAAATGCCTGACAGAGCCGGAAGTGCGCTACTACCTGCGCCAGCTAGTGGATGGCGTGGACTACATCCACCGGAACCAGATCATCCACCGCGACCTCAAGCTGGGGAACATGCTGCTCAACCACGACATGGAGCTCAAGCTGGCCGACTTTGGGCTGGCTACGCGCGTGGACTTTGTC